CACGACACTTCGACATGTTAATTCTAAAAAACGTTAAATTTCGACACGTTAGGACACGTTTTGATATTATATAATATTTTTAATTTATGTAGTGTATAATATATTTAATAATCAATAATTTAACAAAAAATAAAGCTCAACTTATAATACTCATTAATTTTGTAATCGTAATCTCAAATGTTTATATTAAACTCAATTAAATTGTAATCGTAATGTAACGAATCTAATAGTTGGAACTCAAAATACAACGCAACATAATCTTTGAACTTTTTGAGTCTTTGCAACGAGTATTGGAGTGTCGGGAAGTGTCGGAGTGTCAGTGAGTGTCGGACACGACACGTCAGGATTTTTGAAGTGTCAGTGCTTCATAGGTTCTATCCGCTTCACTATTAGAAAATTTTCAATTATCAACGAATTTCATAGACGAAAAATATTTCGTTGTAAATAGTGATGGAATTTTCAACAAATTCCCTAAAAATAGAGATGAAAGATATTTCCAATGAAAACAAAGACGAAATTTGTCAACGAAAAATCTTATGTTGAAAATAATGACAAATTTTTATTTTGGAAAAAATAAATTTTGACAAAGAAATTTGACTGTTTCTGTCGAAAATAGTAAAATAAAAACACAATACGTGAGAAACCTCATTAGCTTGAATAATTTAATATTTTAAACGGAATTTTTTTCCTTTGATATTTTCAATGAAATTTAAATCGTTGCAAATTTTAACAGAAAAAAAAATTGTCAAAAATTTCGAATAAAAATACAATTCACGCAAAATCTAATTACACAAAGCGAACGCTTGAATAATTTAATATTTTTGATGAAATTTTTTTCTTTAAAATTTGCTACCGAATTTTTTCTAATAAAACACAATCTGCATGAAACCTCATAACCAATGGGAACGCTTCAATAATTTAATATTTTGACGAAAAACATTTCATAAAAAATTCAAAATAAAAACACAATTTGCGAGAAACCTCGTTAGCCAATGGGAATTGTATAATTTAATATTTTCACTCGATTTTTTTTTCTATCAAAATTTGCAACGAAATGTAAAATGCATTGCAAATTTCGAATGAAAACACAATCCGCGTAAAACCTCATTAGCCAATGGGAATGCTTGAATAATTTAATATTTTTGATGGAATTTTTTTCAGTCGAAATTTGCAATGCAATTTTTTTCGTCCAAAATTTTGAAATAAAACTTTTATATATCAATTCATTTCATTAATTCCCAAACTTTTTCACCGTTTCAAATAGCTAATGGCACCACATAGAAGCAAAGCGCATTAGAGAAACAAACGCATAGGGAAAGAAATCCACGGTGGCAGAGAAGGCACCGCAAATGGAGAAAAAGTCGAAGGCTGGCAAGAAGCTATAGAAAGAGAGTGGTTCTCCGAAAGCAAAAAGAAGAAAAAGAGAAACCAGAAAATGAAAGATTGATGTTTTGATAAGAAAAATTTTGTAATTTCTTTTCAATTTTTATTTGTATGGAGAAAAAGAGAAACAATAAGATAAAGCCATAATTTTTATTTTTTTTCAAGTTCCAGATGTAGAAATAGAGTCTGATCAATCCTTTTGTTGGTATGAAAATGGTATGGATTGATGGAGCTACATTTATTTTTAGTTCTTTCAGTGGCGGACCCAAGAGAATTTTTTTTATGTCTGCACATTTAGGGCAGATGTTTGGGGAACAGTGACCAAAATGTCACTGTTCATCAAGTTTTTTTACCTAAATGCCACGCGAACAGTGTTATTTCTCAATCTGCCACAGGGGAAAGTTCGCTACCCGGTGTAGCGAACTCGGTTTGCTGACGTGTCACGTTTCTAGTGGACACCAAGTTCGTTACACAGGGTAGCGAACTTCATATATATATATATATATTAAATAAAAACTTGGTACTTGTTATCCACTAAAAATGTGACACGTCAGCAAACCGAGTTCGCTACACCGGGTAGCGAACTTGCCCCCGTGGCAGATTGGGAAATAACACTGTTCGCGTGGCATTTAGGTAAAAAACTTGATAAACAATGGCAATTTGGTTGACGTTCCGAGGTTTGGCCCCCGATTTTTTTTTATAAAAGATCATGATCATGATCCAATTTTTGCTTCAACTTCAAAAGTAAAGCTTTGGTGAATCAACCAAAGTTTTAAGGAAATAATCGATAATGATAATTAAAAAAATTAAACACCACAAAAAGACATTTGTAAAATATAGTATAATTATAGGGGTTAATCGATCAAAAATTCATCTTTGTTAATGTTTATTTGATCCAAAGTTGAAAAAGGTGAAAAGTCCCGTACGATTTTCATCCACTTGATAAATTTTGAATTTTAGGAATCGTTAATGTCTATTAAGATTTGGAGCTAATAAAATTTATGTAAAAAATAGAAAAGAGAGAAACAAAGCAATGAGGTAGGATTTAAGCTTTAAACTTTTAATTGTAGGGGTTGGTTGGGTTGGGCATATATTTACTTTTTTTCTTTCAATCTTTCTATTTATTTTTATTTTTTTTCTTTTTTACTTGATTGAATCACACATTTCATGTAAAAAAATTTTCTCACCCAACTTTGTGTCATGTGCAGACATCTGTAACCATTTGGGTCCACCGTTGAGTTCTTCTATTTATTTTTTTTGTTCGTCAAAATTAGTTCTATAGTTATTTTAGGAATAATTTAATTTTAGAGTTTTGACGAAATATCGATAGAATTCTTGTTAAATTTCATTGTAAACTGAGCCGGAATTTTTTGATAGAATTTATTTCCGTCGATAAAATTTTTGACGGATTTCTTGTTAAATTTTGTTGCAAATTATGACGGAACTTTTCATCGAAATTCATTAAACTAATATTATATTATGGCTTAATTTTTCAACAGAAATATAAGGCTTTCGACGGAATTTTTATCATTTGGGACGGAAAAATTTCGTCAAAAATATGTCTATTTCTAGTAGTGTTTGGCTTTGAAAGGCATTTAAAATACTGATGAACAACTACCACACGCCCTAGCATCGCATTTCCCAGTAACATTCATGATAAACGCAGTGTGTTTGACAAGAGTGGCATCACCGGCAAAGACAACAATTTTGACATTTTTATTCGCAATATTCAATGCTATTCTTTTCACACCGCTGGCAAATTCAACGATTTCCCGTTTGAATCTTGTTCAATCCATAAACACGTGCAATCCCCTTTGCAACAAGGGGTCACTCCACTGATTTCATTCACTTGAAAAATTGTTTGAAATACATTTCTTGGCATTTTTTTTTTTCAATATTTTTTTTTATAATCTGGAGGGTATTATCATTCAATCTCCTCCGGTCACCTTGTCGTTGGAATACGTCCCCAGAAGGGCTACTCTCATTGGAACAACGAGTGCATTGAGTTTCGCCGGAGAAAGGATGAGACTAATCCCCCTTAGGGAAGAGAGGCTCTGGACCCTAAAGATTTTTCAAGAATTTGTCTGAGACACTGTTTGAACCCTTGACCCAAGCAAATCCTTTGAAACTCAGTTGTCAACCGAGCTACCCTTGGAATTTTTTTTTCAATATTGTTATTATTAATTACATTAGACTCGCTTTCATAAGACTACATAAAAAAGTTTAATATTAAAAAAAAATTAAAGAGTGTGTTAATAGCCATTATTTTAGGATGAAATGATTTGTTACTTAACAAAAATAGTGATAGGATTTCACCAGATTGTAACATGAAAGTTATGAATAAAATTGAATTTTAATATTAATGTTGTTCAAAACAAATATAAAACAATAATTCATTTGTAAACGAATTGAATTCTAAATTTTTGACATTCTAAACACAGTGGACATCTGCAGGTGCAGAATTGCATCAAAACGCAAATTCTGGGTTGTAAAATATTTTCGTTGGAATAATCGCAAGAAACCAGTTTCAGTAAAGTTGCAGCCTAACTTAGTCTCCGTTGCATGTCTATTTTCTATAGCGTTATCAGCATCCTTCATTCTCATTCACTGTGCAAGCAACTTGATAGCATAGCCCATAATTTTCAAGAAGCTATGAAATGTAAGTAATATGCAAAGGGGGCTATCTTTCAGTTTGTAACTACACATATTGGGAATGTTGCAGAAATTGTTTGGAACAACCATTGGCTTATGGTGCATGTGGTTCTAGGATGGAGAACGTGCTATGCTCCTATACCATCTCTGATAATTCCTTAAAAAGCAGCAGTAGCAACTGACAAAAATCTGTACGTTATAGGCGCTACAAGCAATAATACAATTATTATCTAGTCGTTTGCAGAAGAATGTGAGCATAAGTTTAAAGTGTACAAGCATAACTACTTTTAAGAATAACTACAGGCTACATAGGTAGTTCAAAGTGTTCATGATTATATGCGACTAAATGTTAGTGATGGGTCTCAAACAACTGAGTAATAATAATGACTCCAATGAAGCCCAACAAGGCCAGTGATTGCCAAGAACTTCCATGAGCTCCATAAAAGGAAGAGAAGTGGGTTACTTCCAGATTAAAAGGGGAAGAGGAGGCAATCACTATACATCTCCAACATCTTCTGTCTTTACTATCAATCACTTCAGATTTATGTCATGGTTGATACAAAACCTCGACGCTGCTAGATTAAGATAAGTAGGATGAGCCCTTCTAAATGTTTTATTTTCTGACATATCAATCTTTTGGCAAAGCAGCAAACTAAAGTCTAACTCTAAAAAGTGGTCTGGCATGCTAAGTTACTTCTGTTCATTGCACAAGCATTAGATTAAAGACCACTGCCTTAAGAAATTTGATCTTTCAACTTCCTGATTCTCAAATATACCAGATCAAAATTAAGCAGAAAATTCTCCAATTAATTTATTCCAAAAATCTCGTTATCTAGAACAACTCGAATGCAGTAAAAAAGGTTTATATGCAAAGGTAGGGCAAAATCATTAAACCTTCATTCGAGATTCATCAGAGTATATGTCACAACTCTCAATGGTAGACTAAACCCCTTTGGGTGAGCTAATCAAGATAACATGAGAGAAATCATTGCATCGGCAGATTCTGGTCCATCATTATTCACGCTTGGTATAATGTTATTAGGAGATATAAGTTTTACAAACTCTTTGAGTTCTGTAAAGCTACAATGTTCACTGTAAGGCACTTCATACCTGATAAACAAGGAAAACTTCGATTAGTTTATAGTTATACAAAATTTATGGAAAGCGGGCCATTGTCCGCCTAGTAACTAGTTAGTGAAAATAAATCAAAATGCACCATGGAGGCCAGGGATTTGGTAAAACAAGCTGTATTTGGACCAGAAGTAGGAAAGAAAAAGGAAGAAACCTATAGTGATTTTGAAGGATTTAATGCGGGTATATGATTCAACATTTCAACTTGTATATAATAAAAATAAAACAATCTAGCAATAAAGGACACATAGGCATCACCTTATAATAGTACCCTGCTGCCACCGTCTTCCAGGAGACTTCTTTTTACCTTTGCCAAAGGTCCAACCAGTGGGAGAGAAAGCAACTATAAGACTAAATCGACTCTGATTAAAAAAAAATGTATCTGATGGTTAGAAATATAAAACTAAAAGTTAAAAGATAAATGTAATTCAGTATTAGTAATCAGAACAAATATCAAATTAGGAAAAAAATATTAGTATCTGTAGATATATATACTGTAGATGACTACATGCGTACATCAAAATATGTTGCAAGTCTATGTTGCAACACTCACCACATATTGACTTGATATGTGCTTCAATCTTTTGAAGCTTGCGAGTGTCCACATAGGGGCAACATGAATGTTGGTTTCATGTTCATTTAAAGTAAACCACTGCATATCCTCCTCTTGAAATCCCAAACATTTTAAAAGACGCAACTTTGCTGCAGTCACGTAGACCTTTTTACGAAGCGAACGAGCAACCTCCAGGAACAGCCTTTCTTTTCCTATGAAACATAAGAAAACGAGGGGCAAAATAGAGCATTGGAAATATTTTCATTTTTTCTCATTAGTTTCCTGGTAGTTGGGCAATACTACCATAGAAACACAAATACCCAAACCTACATTTTAAACATTAATTCCCAAACAGCAATTATATGTCAAACAAATATTAAACGTCAAAGATAAACTTTGTAAAGTATTCAGCACAAATATCCAGAAAGAGAGTTGTATGGAACTCTACCGATTGTATAGCTGCCAATCAGAAAAAGGGTCTGGGGATTAAAAGCCTCTGCTTGAATGGCATCAATAACAAATTGTATAACAGCCTCTTGTTTTGGAAAGTCATACTGTAAGGAAACATAACACAAAATATACATAATAATTTTTTAGTGGTCAAAGGGAGCAAGTATATAAATAAAAATCAACAAACTGAATGTATTTGTGCTAACTAAATGCAAAAATTATTAGAAAAATGTTGAATGGTACAAATACGACTTAATGTAAGAGAAAATTAAAAATAAATTGCTATCTTTTATCAGTTACTCTTTCATTTAGGTTCATCTACCACCGACCCCAATTAATTTGGGATAAAGGTGTTGCTAATGTTGATGTATATCAGTTACTCTTTAATTTTTTCAGTTTTTTTTTATCTCTCACTATAATTAATTATGAGGCATGCGTAATAGTTTTCATACAAACGCTTTGGTAGTAATGTTCATCATAAGCTTGCTTATCTCGATCTTAAGAACAAGTTAGTAGATTCTACTTCTGCAATAAATTGCCAACACTGTCTAAGTCAGACAGCATAAGGCATGCTGACAGTGTATTAACATGACAAGAAATATTAGTCTTACTAACCATTGAAATGGTAACGAATATCTCCATCATGACTACAAGTTTGTAGAAAAAAGTTGGAACTTTAAGTGGATTGCTAAGATAACGCCACACTGCTACCACCAAATCAACCATCATAGATTGGCTCTATCGGAATCCAAGGCCTCTAACAAACCTCTTAGATTAGATTTAAGAAAACTTGTCTGGTCCAGTTGGATTGAAAATTATTTCACTTTGAGTTGGAGTATAATGTCTAACTCCACTATTAATTTATTACGTTATTGAACATCAATAAATATAAGAAAGCCAAGTTCCAAAGCAAAAGTTAATTTAAAGTCATGTAATTTGAAGAGATGCCTCCTCTATTCGCACATGGACTCACCTGTGGGTTACAGTATGTTGTGTCAAGAATTAGAGTATGGATAGGACACATCTGCAGGAAAGAATTGATTGCTATTTCTTCACTATAGCGAAAATCACCAGTGTGGAGCACCGCCTAAATGGACGGAAAAATATCCAGTCAATTCTAGCTCAACAATGGGTAACTATCAAACAATAATCAAGCTTATTAGGAAGTCAATCCAAGCCACACCTTACCATTCGGAGGTTGAAAGAGTATAATTATGGAACCCGGACAATGGTTGGCATCCAAGCAAGTCACATCAATACCAGCTATTTGAACCGTTTGGTTCAGAGGCAGAACATGTAATTTATCATATGGAATCCCAATGTTCATATTTACAAGTCTAGCTGTAACACAGGAGCAATAGATCTTTCCATGATTGAAGGACTTGGTGAGACCTTGATAATCTGTATTCACAAATGAGAACCAACGGCCAAGGCATAAATTGGAAAACTTGAAACTCTGACTCTGATCGTAATAACCCACTTACAAGGAGCTGAACACAAGGAACTCCTTTATTTATTTTTTGGTAGTTTCAATTTAAAGTTTTTAACATGGGATGTGCAACTCCATAGTTTTTTATTGATAGGGGAACGGACACAGTACACCCAAAAGTAGTTTGGAAGAAAGCAAATTCCATAATATGATACATTTAACATACTTCCATATATCAGAGAAGCACCAAAACAACCTTGTTAATTGTCCATCACTATGCATTTATTAACTTTCTTGTTTCTTCATGACATATTTGATCCACCAATGCGTGTACGCAATTTCCTGAGTAATTATATGACCAAAGTCTAGAACTATGCGAAGAAAATGTACTAAAACAATTATTCAAATTTAGTAAGCTAACCCATTTGATGGAGATCTGTGTCAAATCTACTTAGAGTTAAAAAGATAAGATCTTAAAGCCAAAAGTTGAAATTCCAAATTGTAACTAAAACTAAGATAACATGATAGATGCAGGCTTACGGTCCAAGTGGAAGTGTGTGAGAAACCAGTGGGAACAATCTCCTCTGAGATATTTGAAAGCATCCTGCATATGTTAAATGTATTTGTCAGATACTCAGACCCATATCGAAACAAGATAGGGCAATAACGGTAACGGAATACCAGAAGTTCCTCAAATATGGACGTTCGTAATTTATTGGCTATTTACCATGAATATTGGATGCATTTTTTTTGTTCTTCATCTTCTATTTTCTTTTCCTAGTTCAGCAGGTCAACATGAAACATGATTGACGTGTATGCTCAGTTTTAATTGTCATCCAAGTGGCCAATAAGCATTTTCTTTACAGGATATACTAAATCAGTTACGATACACCACAGAAGTTCTATTCTCGGGCAATAACGCATCGAAAACAAAACTTGAATTAAAAAAAATGGACTTGTATTTTTTGGGAACCATTTAGAAAAGCTTTCCTTCTAGCTAATATATTTGCAGAGTCCTAAAGGAATGCATAAAGGGGGATATACAGTAACAGAAAACAAATGCACATATATCAATTAGAATGCTATTTACCACCCGGAAAGGCGTTCCTGGTATGGTACACCATTTGGGAACATCACGAAGCTTTCTATTTGTTGACATATTTTTTGCTTTGTGCTTACGACCAGAATCCGAGCCACTGTTTTTCATTTCATGTTGTTCTACAGGACTGGCAGAAACTTTCTTCCCATTGGTAGCAGAGCCGGGAAAATATTCAGTAATTAATTTGTTTGCTGCTGGTTTACTAGTGCCATCTACTTTTCTTTCAGATTTGTCATGTTGCAATTTGACTTTCTGGTTTCCAATCCTTCTAGGCTCTGCCAGAGCTTCCCCATGTTGTTCGTTTGAAGGGGCAGTTCTTTTTCTAAGTTCACAAAGGGCATGCACAATTTTTTTTCTGGGCCCTAGTGCAGTAATACCCATGCTTAAGAGATCCTACAGAAACAGAAGGAAAAGAGGAAAATTAAAAGATAGTTAATGTAAAACTTTAACAACAAAGGGTATAAGCAGACATCTATTACAAACAGCAGTGTATTTGTGTTTTATACCACTCCTTCTAATTTTGGATACCAAAAACCCAAGCCAAACACATTTTTAGATTTCCAATAACGTAAAGTCCTTAAGTACTCTCCTAATAGCTCAAGGTGCTGATTCGACACTCATGAATGATTTTATATCTCTTAACACTTCAGAATGTCACTCTAGGCCAAATTGCAAAATGATTACTTAGAAATTGCTACAGAAGATTGATCTTTAACCTGGAGTGGGGGAGAAGGACAAAGATAACCTCCAATTTCTAATTTAAAACTGAAATTAAACATTAATATTTTTGTGCAGCAATGAAGAACAATCAACTTATAAAGGCCATAAATTCAAGCAACAAGTGTGGCAAGAGTTATGAACCTAAAACTGATGGTACGAGATCAAGTAAAAAACATAAGCTCACCTCCTCTGTCAGCCATTGCAAGGTGTCCCAATCAACTTCTTCCCTAACGAAAACATCTTCATATTTTGATAAACCCAGATCACGTAGCCAATCAACAACAGGAGAGACACTGACGACTTTAGGGGCAAATTGAACCTCCATCTCGCCGTCAGAAAGGGCGACCTGCATAAGATTATTATTACATCATTAGCTTGTGATGATAAGTCCAATCGTCAATCATCATCAATGTTAATAGAGTTATATATAGATACATGAAACTTGACTCAAAGTCCTTGCAATCTTTTCTTAGTCAAAAACCACTCAAACTTGAACTTGAAACTGATTCTAGAAGCAGACACGACCTCAAGGACGTTACAAAATTTACAAATAGCTGTCAATTGGATTCATAATTCACGAAGTTCAAGCACATTTTGACTTCCTAATTACTAACACCACATAATCAAACTAAGGTAGACGCATAATGAGTAATGAAGAAAGGGGTGTATCTTACATCTTCTCCTCTGTCAAGACAATCATTGGTATGAAGATGTCGCTGTTCTTCAGTCAAGTTCGAAATGTCAATCCCACAGAGGGGACATCTGATGGAGCTATCTACTCGATCTAACTCATTGCACAAATTCAGCAACATATCGAGCTCCGAATCAGGTGAGGAATTTCTAGATCCATAGTTAAGCGCGTCTTTTCTCAACACCACGAGTTTAGACTCTATTGAGTTACGAAAATAAGTATCCTTCATTTTCAGCTCGGACGCAGTCGCACTGTCATCTTCTCCCGAATTCTGAGCGTTCCGAAAACTGTCCTCTATGGTGGAAGGAATGAAATCCAAGCTACAGTTTTCAATTTCGTGACCGTCGCTGCAAACCAATGAAGAACCTGAGGGTTTGGATGCGGTTTTGCGTAGACGAAAGGGCGAATTAGGGGGAATGTTCTCCTTGCCAATGCCATCAACATCAAGCATCGTCGTTTTGTGTTTGAGTTTCTTATTCGAAGGGGTGAGGGTGTGACATATTTTCGTCTGGGAAAGAGGGAAATCACAATCATCGTTGTCGTTGAGCATTGTGGAGTTCATATCTTCTCCGTCACCGTCACTGTGCCCTTTTTCAAGGTTTCTGAAAATGGAGGGAAGGTGAAAAAGAGTTACGTTTGTGTTTTAAATCTCCCTCCTCTTTAATCCCAGGTTTGACCGATATGGGCCAGCGTTCAAGCCTAAGCCCATAACTGGCTTGGCCTCCTGGGCCCAATATTTTATTTTTTTATTTTTTTCGATTTTCATTTTTCATGACAGCTTGTACTTGTTTCCTTGTCTAGTCTAGTCTGGGATCCAATCAGCACTGTGAATTTCGTGTTTGGCTATGGCGGAGGAGGACATGTGGTGCGTGGTCACCGGAGGTCGGGGTTTCGCCGCTCGGCATTTGGTCCAAATGCTAATCCAATACAACACGTACTCAGTTCGCGTCGCCGATTTGGGAGCCACCATTGAACTCGAACCCGCTGAGGAAACCGGTGTTCTCGGCCAAGCTTTACGTTCTGGTCGTGCTCAGTATATCTCTCTCGATCTTCGCAACAAGGACCAAGTCTTGAAAGGTAACCTCTTCTTCTCTCTCGTTGTTTTCTAACCCTCGCTTAAACCTCAAAACAGCAACAATGTATAGATGAATATTGTTTCCGTCACTGTATAGCATTCGAAGGAGCTGAGGTTGTGTTCCATATGGCTGCTCCAAACTCTTCCATTAACAACTACCAGCTTCATCATTCCGTTAATGTCCAAGGTAAAAACCTCACTCTTCTTCCCATTTTCACTTCTTTGATGAATCTAACTGAGATCTTTCTTTTGGAAGGAACAAAGAATGTCATCGATGCTTGTGTTGAGCTGAAAGTGAAGCGACTCGTTTACACAAGCTCTCCCAGCGTCGTCTTTGATGGAATTCATGGAATTCATAATGGAAACGAATCATTGCCATATCCACCTTCGGTACATAATTTAGCAACTCTCCATTTTACTTATATTACAACTTGCACGTGTTTCTTCATTTTAATCTTCATTCTATCTGACTTGGAACTTGAGATATATATACATGTGGATCGGGGGTTTTATATTATAATCTAGCAATTGGGAGTAGATTTGAAATGTTTCTCAGTCTTGTTATTAAAGCAATTGGCATGGTCGTCCTAAATTGAATTCAACTGGTTTCAGCATAATGATCATTATTCAGCAACTAAAGCCGAGGGTGAGGCATTGGTTATGAAGTCTAATGGGACTAATGGGCTCCTAACATGCTGCATACGCCCTAGCAGTATCTTTGGGCCCGGTGATAGACTGTTGGTGCCTTCATTAGTTGATGCTGCCAGGGCAGGGAAATCCAAGGTAAATAAATGTTGTTCTTACTCCTATTGATATAGATTTAGGGTCTGTATCTGTAACTTCATTCTAGCATCTTCATTTTAGCATTTTACCTTGAAGTCATTTAGGAACCAAAATATGGCCTATAGAAGGCACAAATATATCTATTTCAGGCATTTCTATTTGATTTGTTTGATGCTTTACATCCTGTACCTTGTAGTTTAGCAAAATGACGTAAGTTGGCCATTAGCTCGATTGCTCTTTTGAGCCTAATGACTGATGTTATGGAGTAGTCAGTCATGCTGACTCTTGGATAAGTTTGTGCTAAAGGTTATATTTTGTTGTGCATATATAGAGTCTAGGTAAATGTTTGGTACTTTTTACTACTTGAATAACAAATTGAAACCTCAGGACAATGTAGTCTTGATAAGGACCTATCTTGATGAGTCAGATTGCATCCACAAATTGAATGAAATTGGACCGAGATCGATAACTAAAAAACTTTCTGCTTCATGAAATTAGGAGGGATATGGACAAAAATGGTTGCAGAGAAATATGCATGTGTAACTACTTATAAGCGGAAATTTCCTTCAGCCTTTCTTTCATTCTCTAATTTATATTTCTCTTGACCAGTTCATTATTGGTGATGGCAATAACATCTATGATTTCACTTATGTTGAAAATGTGGCTCATGCCCATATATGTGCTGAACGAGCTCTAGCTTCGGAGGCTACAGTTTCAGAAAAAGCTGCTGGACAGGTACCATTGAAAGATTGTATTATTACCTTCTTAATATGTAACGTTTTTGTTTGTGTGTGTAAATGAAGATTAAAAGAAAGACATCCATTGAATGTAATGATGATACATTTGAAGGTTGGACGATGCTGCTCCATTGTTGTAGGGTTGTGGGTTCTTCTCAGGTGTACACCCATTAAGAAGTAAATTATTGATAAAGTGACGATGATATGTTGAAGGGTAGGATTTCTTCATTTGCGCAAACGAGGAAACCTGAAAAATATACCTGTTAGCAACGGCTTGTCAGTAAATTCTAGTTACTAGATCCAAAGCTAATTATTGCATTTCTCCTGCCAACATCAACATCAACAACACTTTTATCCCAAACTAATTGGGGTCGGTGGTAGATGAACCCAAATAAAAGATACGAAAGGGTTGAAAAAAGATAAAAAATAAAAATAAAAATAAATAAAATAAAGTTGTAATAATATATATATATATATTATTACTATATATATATAGTAATTACGGATTAATTTACATATTACATTTGAAAATAAAATAAAATGTGCATTTCTCCTGCCAAAGGAGGAAAAAAAGAAACTGATTAATTTACATGTTAAGTTAAGAAACTTAGCAATTACTGTAGTACTCTATGGCTGATGGATTGTTGTTTTGTAGGCATATTTCATAACAAATATGGAACCTATAAAGTTTTGGGAGTTCATGTCCCTGGTTTTGGAAGGTCTTGGATATGAAAGGTAGTTTCTTTTATACTGTTAACCATTTTATATATCTTCCTTTTATATGTAAAAAAATAAGGAATGTGGTTATGGTTTTTCAATGCCTTTTCTTTGTAGGCCAAGAATAAAGATCCCAGCCTTTGTTATCATGCCAATTGCACATTTGGTGGAGTGGATATATAGGCTGCTAGGCCCATATGGGATGAAGGTGCCTCAATTGACCCCTTCAAGAATAAGACTCCTGTCTTGCAGCAGATCTTTTGATTGCTCAAAAGCAAAGGATCGCCTTGGCTATGCACCCATCATAACACTACAGGTTCTATGATGTATCGAAGAAGTAATAAAATATAATGCGCCCTATTTCTGCATTGTGCATGTCTTGGTACTGTGTTGAGGTGCTCAATTTTTTATTATTGTGAAAGTTTGTAACAAGAGGGCAAGCCTTGGAGCAGCAGCAAGGTTGCTCCTTGTGATCGTAAGGTCACGGGTTCAAGTATGGAAATAGCGTCTTTGCAAAAACGTAAGGGTAAGGAGGTACAATCGACCCTCACAAGTTGGAGAGCCTTGTGTACCGAAGTTTGCCCTTTGTGAGAGTTTGTAACAAACTTCAATGAAGATGCTAATTTCATTTGTATACCTTGTGATTTACATCCATTATGTTGTTCATGCTTTGAAAGGAAAAAAAAAATTGATGAGAAGTTGGCTATTGCAGAGCCCACAAAGTTACTGATAATATGAAGTTAAGTTTGTCTATTATGTTCTGAAATGAAGTATAAGATGTGATTCTAGAATGGATGATGTTTCAGTGCACAAATGTTCTCTATTGCAGTGAGTGTATATGTTAATATTACCTCTTGCATGGGTGCCTCTTGTAATAATGAGATTGTAATTTTTTTTTGCAGGAAGGTCTACAGAGAACGATTGAATCATACCCACACTTGAGGGCTAAAACTCAACCTAAAACTAAAAGAGAAGGTCCCTCAAAAGCTTTCCTATATCTTGGAAGTGGAAGAGGTATGAATAATCAACTGTAATCATCGAACTTCTTTGTTTGGGTAATCTGGAATTTCTTTTCTGTTGAATGTTGGCCTGGGTTTGTTGTAAAGGGGAATTAAACTGTTGATCCATTCAAAAATAGACGCATGACTGCTACTCTTGCAAGACTGTACCATATGGTTGAGTGACTTTGATTGTCTTATGAGTCAGATTAGATTATGAACGAATTTGTTTAGGTAGACATGTGAATGGCATAAATTTATTTTCCTGGACAAATACATTAGTTAAAATCGTTACAGGTAATGGAGGAAGTTATAGTTCAGACTCACAATAGCAGGTCCTTATCATGAACTACTTATTCCATATATTTCGATCTATGAAGCATTGCATTTTAAAATTGTAATAAAGTATGTGCGTGGTTGATGTGCAAGCCCTAAGATGCCTGAAACAACGATTGAACTCTGAAGTTCAAATTTTACAAATAATATTCTAACTTAAGCCCTTGTCATAACTTTTTAAATGGTTAAAATTGATAGCACTGTTGTAAAACCCGGACCGACTCGGCCGGGTCGATCCGGAACCTGGCGAACCGGTCATTGGACCGGTTCAGGTCAAGCATTGGACTGTTATGCATCAGACCCTGTCAAAACCCGGCCAAAACCGATGACCCGGTAGGGTCATGAATTTTTATAAAAAAAAAAAAAAAATTGTTTCATCTTGTTAGAAAAAAATGTAGAACTCATTTTAAAAACTTTTTGTAATTTTATTTGCTAGTATACTCTTCTACAATGACCTCAAATTTCAGCTTTCAATACTAAAGCAATTTGCAGAACAATAAATTAAAAGAATGTGACATATGTCATTTTGAAAAATATGAGTTCAATGTCATTGAGAGGTATACTTTTGGGAATTCTGAGTTGCAATTTAAGTTGACACAGTAATAATAGTGTGCATTTTCATTTATTTGTGCTTCGTGAACTTGTAAAAGTGTGATTGGGTAATTTTTGAGCTTATTTAGTGAACCTTTTTTAACTCATTTCGCTAGTCGGGTTTAACGGGGAGTGGTTTTTTTTTTTTATATATATCCGGGTCAACCGGTTCGACCAGTGACCCAGTACCCCGACCAAGTCGATGCCCGGGTCGGGTTTAATAACACTGATTGATAGTCAACCTTAGCGCATCTTTTCTACTTAACATACCAACACAGTAGTGTAACCAGTTCGTGCTGGGAGTAATTTTACAGTTTGATTTTATTTATCTGTAGGTTTTAATTGATGTACTAATTTGCAGTTGCTGACACATTGCTTTGGAAGGATAAAAAGCAAACTTTCACCACGTTGTTGGTCTTGATTGCAATATACTTTAACTTCATTGCATCTGGGAATACCATTGTTACTGCTCTCACAAAGCTTCTGGTGTTCATATCGATCTTTTTATTCATTCATGGCATTCTACCTGCAAAAATGTAAGTACACTATCTACCGTTGAGTATTCCAACTTGTCAATTAACATTGTATGGTACCGTTAACTTGTCCAATAATGTATTATTATTTATTAATATAATAACTGTAAAGATGATCCAGCTGTTGGAAGCATTGCAGTTTCTAATGTGAAGATAAATGCTAACTATTGCTGTACTTAATGCTTGTGTAGATTGGGGTATACTGTTGAGAAAATGCCCACATCTTGGTTTCACTTATCAGAAGATATGTCACATCAAATTGCTCTCTCAGTGTCCTCATCGTGGAATTTCTCTGTGAATGTTTTGAAATCACTTGCAGAAGGGAATAATGGGGTTCTGTTCTTTAAGGTATCCATACTCTGCATTGCTTATATTTCATTGCCAATGCTTTCTGCTGTGATGCCTATGCAGTTTATAAGATGCGTACATTGATTCTTACGTATGAATTTTAAAATTCTATAGGACATCACGTAAAGATTGTGATTTTAAAATCTCATTTATGTAAAATTTCGTTCATAGGCAAGCTTGCATATCCAGACTTAACCAAATTAATGAGTATAAAGTTTCGTAAGTATCAGATGTGCTGACACATCTTTCCCTTGGTGATCAATAGGTTGTTTTCTCTCTGCTCATTCTCAGCTTCCTTGGCGCCGTTTCACTTCAGAACATATATGCTATAGGTTCTCCCTCTCTCTCTCTCTCTCTCTCATATTTGCTCACATGCATATCCTAACATGAATTTGTCTGCACAGAAAAGTGTACTGGTACGTCTACATCCGTTTAATTGAATCTATTTCTGCAACCAATAAAATTATGACAGGTGATCAATGTATATTAATTGAATCCATAATATAGTTGTGACATCTGTTGAATTTTGAATCATGTTAAATAAGTTTTCAGTTCAAACAATTTCATTTGTGGTAGATGGCTAGAAATATAAGATCTGCATTCAGCAATCCTTGGATGGTTCTTACTTTGAATAATTTGACTTGACATTCCTGAGGGTGACAAGTTACGTGGTCACCTCATTCATTGTATCACTTTTTACTAGGACAGCTAATGCAGTGGCTGTCCCCAGGAGACAAGCTACATCACTGCCTGCTATTACTTACGTGTTTTTTTTTTTTGAATCCATGATGGCTGGATGGGAATGATTCTAGTTTATTCTTGTCGTGGTTACAGGACTTACCTTTGCGTTTATAGCTTTCTATGTTTATGAGAAGAAGGAGGAAGACATCGATGGCATATTTATAAAAACTCATTCTTTTGGATGCAAATTGATATCTGATTTCGCCAGGAAGTTTCTTTCTTCAAAGAAGATCGATTGATAGCTTGTTGCACCAGTTTTTTCTCGGATACGGTGGGCAGTTGCATTTCATTTACCCCGCGTTCGAGTTCCGAGTATGATTGTACAATAATTGTAATTTTGATATTCCGTGAACTTAAAAAAAATTCTTTTTTCTGAAAATACTGATGTTACTTTGATGAGTTGCACTCGTCAGCTGTTGGAATTTCAAAATTCCAGTAACGTTAAGGGCTCGGATAAATTGCATTTTTTTTTTTTGGATACAGGTTTAAATTAGCGATTCTACCGGACTAGTGCCATGCTTAGAAAAAAAATATTTCATTAGAAAATTTATTATTGCTATTTTTTATGTTGAAGTAAGCTAATCTAAACACGCATTGGAAGTTTCACTTACGTATCTTCGATCGCCTACTGGTTCTGATCATTCCCTGGTTTATGAAATTCCAGTTTTTGTGTCTGATCATTGGCTTCTTGGACTGTTGAATAATTACATGATAAATATCAGGTGTTCTACAGCCGCATGTATTTCTGGGGGATGAAAAGGAGGGTGGAATTGATAAGCCAGCCATGAATAAATGACCAGAAAACTAAGATATATGAATTGTAGTTTGGTTAAGTTAATCATGAAATCCTGTACTATTTGAGGATTTTTAAAAGTTTGTAATGGAGTTTTTCCAATTTTAAATATTTTTTAATTAAGCCTTTATTGTTAAAGATTTGTGACAAAAAAAAAATTAATTGAATGAGCCAATTTAAAGTTTGTTCAAGTATAAAGACTTTAGTATAAACTTTTTAAGTCTTGAGTTGTATGATCAATAGAATCGGGTATATATTTATTTAGGGTGTTCTTAGTGACAATGATATAAGGTGTGCATGATAACTTTCTCGGAATTAATTTTTTTTTAATTTCTATTCCCGGGAAATAGGAAATTCGTTTGGTAAATTCGGTTTATTTTTTTATTCCCGAGATGAATCGGTTTAATCTTTATGCTGCGGAATAGAAAAAAGAATCAGAAAATTTCTGCTTTTTTATTTTCGGGCACAAAATGAGAAATATTTATCTTTCTCAATCACTCTCCACCTCTACCATCATTACCACTACCATCATCATCCCGACACGACTGCCGCCACCATCGTACCACTAGTGTCGTCGTCACCACCACAATGCCACCGCCACCATTACTACCACCACCCATCACTAGTCACTACCACCACCATCACTACTATCACTATCAACCACCACCACCATTATCGCAACCACTGTCGTCACCGCCACCATCGCCATCACACGCCACTGCCACCACCCCACCGCCACCACGATGCCACCACTACCTTCACAACCACTGTCACCAACCACCACTATCATTGCCGCAGCCACTACCATCCCGCCGCCGCCGCCACCAACCACCACCACCATCGTCACAGTCGTTACCGTCACCACCACCACCCCCGCCACTACCATCACCACGCCATCACCATCACTAGCACTACCACTACTACCACCACCGCCACCACCTACCACCACCGCCACAACCACCACCACCTCCCCGATGCCTTCACAACCACCACCACCATGCCACTGCTACCATTGTTGTCGCCACCAACAACCATACCCACCACCATTGTCGCAGCCACTGTCGTCACCTCCACCACCACCATACCCACCACTACCACCGCTGCCGCCGCCATTACCACCGCCATCGTCGCAGCCACTGTCGTCACAACCACCACCACTATCTTCACCACGTCACTGCCACCACCACTACCGTACCGCCGCCACCACCATGCCACTGCCGCCACCACCACCACAACCACACCATATGGAAAGGAATATGATGATCTGAAAAAAAATTATATTTAATAAGAATTATTGTTATTATATTATTTTTTGTGTTATCAAACACAATTCTCATTCTTGGAATACAAATAGAGCATATTATCAAACACATTTTTTTTCTCAGAAACTGTACCAAGGCACATAAATAGAAAGAAATTGTTTCTTTTCAGAAACAGTGCTAGGGAATAGAATGGTTGGCATGCACACTCATCGACTAAGGCCCTTAAGGAGCTTCACAGGTGTTGCGCAACAATAGTGGGGAGGGAGGTGTTTAGTGGATATAGATATAGTGGCTCTCCAAATAAACACAGTAATAGCTCATAGAAGTAATAGAATAGTGTGTATCTTTGTGGGCGTGAGGAGGTATTTATAGGTGAGGAATGAGCTTCCTTTCCTTGTGTGCAAGAGAGTAAAGGAAGATGAGACAACCTAACCATCATAGCCTGTCTTGCTTGAGCAAGACACATGGCAGCCATTGTCAGTGTACAATAGCTGCCTGTGCATGTGAAAGAGGGGTACCAGGTATGAAGATATTACCTACTCTTCAAAGGGGGGGTCCTTAGTTAGCCCTTAGTTATGGGCTTTTCATGTTGGGCCTGAATATTGGGCCAGCTGGAACAAGTCTATATAGTTCCAAAAAAAATTAATTGAGATTTTGAATTTAATTTTCCATTAAAGATTTCTATTAGCATTGTAACTGTGAGTAGGGGTGTTTGCGGTCTGGATTGGATCAATTTTGAAGCAAAAAATCATCTGATCCAATTCCTTCGGTTTAATCATTTAATCTTCCTCGATTTGATTTTTTGTAAATTCAATCCAATTTTATTTGGTTTAAATTTGGTTTTTCGAAAAGTCTACAATTTTAGTAATACAAATCACTAGCTATAACAAAATAAAGTCATTCAAAGTTACGAACCACTGAAAAATTCAAGTCTTCAAACTAAAATAAGTCTTAAAACTCATGACAAGTTAATTCAATTATCGATTTTTCGATTCGGTCATCACAATTTGAATCGGTTGATGAACACCTCTAACGGTGATGATTCATTTTAAAAAGTTTGAAACTAAAAGAATTTAATTATGAACTTTTAAATTGTATGAATATAATTAAAAATTTAAATAGTATAAGAATTCACATTTAATTCAACCTTGTATTTTTGTATACAAGGTTTTTTTATTTTTGTTACTATTCATGATAGTTAGTCTATAAATTATTGTGATAATCATTCACCTTTGTTTTTAATTCAAGTTAATTTCATTTTTTTTTTTTTGTAAACAAAGAGGGCTACTGCCCAAACAAACTAAAAATCAGAAATAGATGAAATTAACTTCCTATTAACTTCCTATCAGCATCCACAAATTCTTGCAGTTCCAGAGAAATGGAGTTGTGGCGCTGATGTCTAATTCCCGACTTGATTCCATGCTTGGCTAACTAATTTGCACAGGTATTACCATCACGGAGGACATGGTTGATTTGGACTTCTCAATCTTTGTCTAACCAGTTCCTTAACTTTGTGATGAGACGAGTTTGTCAAGTGTCATCTCTCATAGTAGTAAGAGTAGATACAAGCTCCTCCGAGTAGGGGTGTGCAAAAAAACTAGTTCATTTGTCCTGCCCTTGATCTGACCTTGACCTGACCCATAAATACCTATTTTTTTAACTGATTTTAAATAAAGACCCACTTTTATTTGGGTCAGTTTTAGACCTGACTTGTTTTAATAATGACCCATTGACCCAAAACTTGACCCACACCCATTATGTGAAAAAAAAAATAACAATTATGATTCTTTCTTCTCCCTGTCACATTCTTGCACTCCACCAAAGAGGATCTTCCATATGCTTCTCGACTTTTCTTGTGCTCAATCCTGAGCTTCTTGATTAATTTAAACCCATATGGTATGATATGCCTTAATACCTTATTGATGCCATGTTTTGCTATAATGGTCTTTGTTATTGGCTATGGATTTAACTCTCTGATCCTTCCAACATCGCCTCCTTCATTTCATAACAAGCAGTAGATTTTCTTTCTCTCTATTCCTTCGTTTTTTATTTTATTTTAATGGCTTTTACATCGTAGCTTTTCTGCTAAAATTTAGGTGCATGGTAACTGAGAATTTTCATAAATGTATCGCATAATAATCTCGAAGGCTCGCTGCCGATTGAGCTCAACAAATTAGCAACTACTTCTTTGTCCAATTTTTGTTTGAGTCATTATGTGTGGAGTTACAATTATTACTTTGATGAAAAAGTTTCTGTACAATCATTCTACTTATATAATATGTTGTTGTTTATCAATCTAATTCCTTTACATTTTCTATTTTCTTTGTAGTTGATAACTAAAATTATATATGTACAATCATATTAGCCAAGAGTTGCCTTAAACTAATTGATCTTGCCCTAATAATAATTGTATAATTTGCATTTGAATTTATGAATTTCCTATCAGTAGACATTATGTAATTTTATAATATATCATTGTTAAAATTAGTGATTTGTCATCTTAAAATGGGAAGAGCGTTCTCTCATCCTTTACTTTTCATTAATTTTCACTAATTTTGCTTCACATGTGCATGGGGCTTAAAATTACATTCCTTTATTTATTCAATAAATATCAAACTTATTATAAAATTTATATATTTTAAAATAAATAAATAATTAAATTACATGAGTTCAAAAAATAAATCAATAACTATAAAAAAATCAAATTAAAAATGTTTTGAAACCAAGTCAAAAACGGGTCTTGTCGGATTTGACCCACTTCAGAAATCAAGTCAAACCCACTTCAGAAATCAAGTCAGGTCAGATCTGACCCGGTTTTGAACTATTTCAATCAGGATCAAATTAAATCGGGTTGGGTCAAATATTTGACCTATAAAAACTAAGTTGGGTCGAGTCGGCACAAAAACCTGATCCGACTTGATCCTTGCACACTCCTACCTCCGAGTCACCCTCCAGCTGCACGTAAACCCATGCCCCACGCCAGTTGGAGACCTGACAATGCTCCCCACATTTCTGCTTCAATAGGCTCACAAATACCCAAATAACTAGACATACCTCCTAGCCAGCCCCCCTCATCTGATCTAATTAAAGCTCCACATCCAGCAAATTGCTCTCTAATACAAACAGCTCCATCAAAGTTTATTTTTGTCCATCAATCATTCTTTTGCCAATGAATTATCTACACTCAATCACCTCTCATCATTTTGCCCTCTGAATACAGTCCCGAAGGTATCTCATTGAAACAAGAGTATATGAAGGTGGAGTGAAGTTAATCCCCTACCAAAATTTAAAGCGCAAAAATGTCGTCTCTGGAAATTAATTTCATTCAAGGTATACACATTTGATATATTAACAATAAATAATGGTAATGTAAATAAGTAAATGTTTGTTTGAAAACACTTGTTTATAACCTACACATATGGGTCCAAAAAAGTGAAATAAATTGTTATATTTTGCCTCCTAAATATAAAGGCAGTCAGGTCTCCTAAATATAAAGGCAGTCAGGTGTAGGGATGTAAATGGGCTGGGCTGGGCTGGGCTTTGGCCATCCTGGCCCAAGCCTACGTCAAAAAAAATTTGGCCTATCTGGCCTACTGGCCTATTAAAGGCTTTATTTGTAGGCCAAGCCCGGCCCATTTTCGAAAATAAGAAAGCCTAACATGGCCTACAGGCCTTGTAGGCCTCCCACTATATATACTAAGCAAAAAAAATAATTGTATATAGCAAAGATAGTTACATTCATGCATGCACTAGTACTTCTCATAAGAAAAAATGACAAACAAGAAAGAGTCAACATAATACCTCAGCTCTAGAATGTATATCATAGAGGAATAGAGTCAAAGAAATGGGAAAAATAAGAAAAATACAATTATTGGAAGTTGAAATAAAGTCTACAAGAGAATGTCATTCTTCTAAAAATATTTAAACCACCATCAAGACAAGGGAAAGAAGAGTATTATTGAAAGATCTTCATCAGTAACATCATAATCCAGCAAGGTACCCATTGCTCCATGGTATTAAGCTGCAACAACATGTAAAATTTGGAGACATTAGACAAGTTTTCCTTTCATAAAATAAAATAGCACAAAAAGTAAGAGATATTGATATTTGGTACTTTGTATCTTTGTCACATAAAATAAATATTATTTTATTATTTTATTTTAATAAATTAAATGGGCCAGCCTACAAGGCTATAGGCCGGGCTTGACAAAATTGGCCTATGGCCTATTTATTAAAAAAGCTTTTTTATAAGCCTAAGCCTACTCTACTTTTCTGAAAGGCCGAGCCTAGGCTGGGCTCAATGTAGGTCGGGCCGTAGGCTGGGCTGGGCCAGCCTGGCCCATTTACACCCCTAGTCAGGTGTTGCAATTTTCTCTTTGCTATCTGATTTTTCAAGATATATTTATAAGAGGAGGTTATAGTTACTACTAAATTTTAATCGTTGATTTTCATCAATCTAACAATTATGATTTATTGGGTCATACTTATTAATTAATTATTAATTTTCAATAAATTATAGCCATTAGATTAGTGGAAATCAACATTTAAGATTTGGTAGTAAGAGATAGTAAAAAAAAAGTAGTAAATATAACCTCTCCCAAATTATAATTAGAGGCTAAGCTTTGAGTGCAGACTGCAGACTAGTTGAGTAAACTCATTAGCCAACTCTTAACTCGGTATTTTTTTTTTTTTTTTTTTTTTTATAAACTAACTCGGTATATTATAAGTTTGATGAGATTGAAATTTTGGCCTGTTTATAAAATTAGCTAAGCTCAGGTTTTGACATGTTCAACTCGTTAGTTTATTAGTGGGCTGAATATATAAATACATAGATATTTTTTAAATAAAAATAATAGGAGAATGTTATACTTACAACCTATTTTCGTTTAGAACTTCTTACAACCATATCTTAACTGTTGATTTTCGTCAATCAACGGTTAAGATTTTTGCAAATCAAATTTATTAATTCATAATAAATGACAACCGTTGATTGATGGAAATCAACGGTTAAGATATGGTTGTAAGAAATTATAAACTATTTGGATTGTAAATATAACCCCTCCCAAAATAATAATAATGCAATTTTTTTTTTGGTTTGACTATTTTTTAACAAAATGTATGCGAAAAACAAGTGTTTACCTAGGTTTAGATATAAAAGGGGTGTATTAGATTGGGATTTCAAAAGATTTTAATGATTATTTTTGGACAAAAAAATTCGTAGGTATTCGATTAGAATTTTAATGGATTGAAAAAAAGTCACGTGGTATTCAATTAGGATTTTAAAAGATTATTTTAAAATCCGTTGGTATTCAATCAAGATTTTAAACAATGGAATCACAATTCGTGGTATTCAAAAATCCGACGATTTTAATGGATTTTCTATTGGTGTGGATTTCGTGAGACTTTTTAGTGAAAAATATAAATAGGATGTCTCTCTCACAATCTCATCTCAACCCCTAGGATTTCTTGAGATTCTTCTGTTGCAGTGTTTTCTTCTTCCTTTGGCAGGTTGACTGCTCGAAATTGGGTTCCGCCATGGGAGTTTCGTCAAAACTAAAAAAAAAAGCATATTTTTGAGCGATTTTTATCACAAAACAACCGAGAAACAACAAACCAACGAGATTTTAATATAATCTATCTCAAAAATAACATATTTTTGAGCTATTTTTGAAAAAAATTGGAAGTTTAAAAAGTGATTTTTCAAGCTATGGGTCGCAGTTTTTCTTGGCACAAAAACATGTGATTTTTGTATTAAAATTAACATAAAACAATGAAAAAATAACAGGGAAACTAAAACTCTCAAAGCAATTTTTGTTTTACATAAATGAAGCAATATCAATTTAAAGAAAGATTGAAACTTTCATAATATGAACCATATAATTCGTAACAATACATTCATAAACGAAATTCCTTCACTATAGGAAACGATTTCAAACAATTTTTGTGTCAATAGATAACTAAAAACTTGTTTCTCAAAAGCCCCACAACAATTTAAGGTTTCAATGTATCGACTGAAAAAATTTGAGAAATTTTCTAAACTTTTATGTAATTAAACCCAAAATTCCAGATTCAAAATTTTCTTAGAATATTCAATGAAAATATGCATAAGATATATGGTTAGAGAACTCTCATCACGTAAAACAAAAATCCCAAGGTTTTCAAGATCAATTGCAAAAAATTTCAAACGAAATTTTATCATGAACTTTAAGTTCTATATGCAAATTTATAATTATTTTTATAATTAAAAAAAGTTGGGTCTTATAATCATATATGCATAACTTTGATACCAAATGAAAAAGATGGTTTTCAACCCATTAGATATGTGAAAAGCTGTTGTTTAGTAATTTTGAATATTTGTTAAAAATTATATTATGTTTTACTGATTGAGAAAATTATATTAGGTTTTACTTTTTTTATTAATTTCATTGCATTTATTTGTTATTTTTTTATGGGGAATATTATACTTACAACCTATTTTTGTTTACAACCATATTTTAATCGTTAATTTTCGTCAATCAATGGTTATTATTTTCACAAATCAAACTCATTAATTAATATTTTACTTGGAAGTTAATCGTTGATATATGGTTATTATTTTCGCAAATCAAACTCAAACTCACTGAGAAAATTATATTAGATTTTATTGATATGTGGAGAGTTGTTGCTTAGTAATTTTTTAGATAATTTTCAACCCATTGTTAAATTTACTTTTTTTTATTAATATCATTGCATTTCTTTGTTATTTATTTTTATTGACTCTTGTAATTTTGAATATTTGCTAAAAATTCATATAGTTTTTTAAAATCTTATAAATCCATATTGTCCTTTCAAATCTTATGAATTCTATTAAAATCCAATCCTATGAAATCTTGATTGTAAAAAAAGTCTTTTGAAAAAGTCTATAAAGTCTTTCCAATTCTAAAATGTCTTTTAAAATCTGTAGGATTTTGTGTCTCAAAAAAAGTCTTTTAAAATCCTAATCTAATACACCCCTAAGACTAATTCAATGAATTTTAAATATTCAATTAAAATAAGGCTTGATATTGGCTTATTAATTATTAAACTCGAGCAACTTCTAAGTTTAAAGTAATATGAACTTGAGCTATGAAAATAGGCACAATTTTTTATCACCCCATAAAAAGTAAAATTCTATTGAACTTGTTCAATTTTTATTTTTGTTCTATTTTTTTTTTTTGATAAACTTTGTTCTATTTTATCTTAGGGATAAGATATTGTTACTACTAAATAATATTATTATCAATGTTAGTATCATATTTTAATTGTTAATTTTCGCTAATCAATAATTATTATTTTCACAAATCAAATTTATGTATTAATTATTATTCGCAATAAGTGATAACCGTTGATCGAAGTAAATCAACAGTTAACATATAATAATAATATTATTTGGTAGTAAAAATATCCTATCATCTTATTTTATTGTATTTTTGTTCAATTTTTTTTTTTGGTATAATTTTTTTTTCAATTTTTAACTGATGCAATAAAAAAACAAAGTAAAAGAGGGACATAATTTAAAAATGAGGTAAGATCCTTTGACACCGGTGTCAAATTTTAATTTTGACACCTCATCTGAGAGTCGTTAGATCAAAAAAGATCAACGACTCTGATTTACAAGCATGTGACACCATTGATCTTTTTTGATCTAACGGCTCTCAAATAAGGTGTCAAAATTAAAATTTGACACCGGTGTCAAATGATCCTACCTCTTGAAAAAAAAAAAAAATATATATATATATATATATATATATATACACATGTATATAGAAATATAGATAGGGTTTTACATTTATAGAATTTAATTTATCAAAGGAAAAGGAGAAGACGCAAAAACCTAGTTTGTGCGGCACCGTTCCAGCGAGTGCGAGTCTCAGTGTTGGTGAACCTAGTTTGTGCGGCACCGTTCCAGCGAGTGCGAGTTTCAGTGTTGGTGTGTGGAAGGTACGCCTTCGATTTATGATTTGGATATTGAACATTGAGAACCCTACAAATGGAACTAGCTCATTGACTCGAACACCTTTACAATCATATCATTCAGATAGCTACAGTCATGGCGGACGTGATGATGATGAAAGAGATTGAGGACACAGCTTCGCGTCTCGGAGTCGATCTTTCTACCATTGATCTCGACGCCATTCGCCTCCCTCCAGGCGATGATTTTGGCGTCACCAGGTACGTCACTTTTTTTTTTTTTTTTTTGCTTTTATCTTTTTTTTTTCTGGTTTATCAAAACCTAGGAAGTTATGTTCTTAATTCCGTTTCGGTTTGTCACGGTACAGTGACGATGAAGATATTTACCAAGAGGATAATCTGGAGTTTGAGTCTGGATTCGGCAACATTATAGTGGTGGATAACCTACCAGTTGTTCCACGGGAGAAGTTTGAGAAGCTTGAAGGTGTCGTTCGTAAAATTTATAGTCAGATTGGTGTTATCAAGGATGATGGTCTCTGGATGCCCGTTGATCCCGCCACTGAGAAGACTTTAGGTTACTGCTTCATTGAGTATAATACCGCTCAGGTATACGTGTTCTTTCTTTTCTTTTTTTTTTTTTTCTTTTTTTTTTTTTGTTTCCAGTTTATATACTAATGTACCAGGCCACAATGTAGTATAAAAGAAAACAAATAAATTTTTTATTGAACAAAACCAGGTGTTATTAGTAATTTTACTGTCAAACATCAATTGTTTTTAAAGCATATGTTGATTTGACTGTTGTTCTTTGATTTGTGTGGTTATTTTAGGAAGCTGAGCTTGCTAAAGAGAAGACTCATGGATACAAATTGGACCGTTTACACATATTTTCCGTCAGCATGTTCGATGACTTTGACAGGTTTATGAAAGTTCCAGACGAATGGGCTCCTCCTGAAACTAAGCCATATACTCCAGGGGTAATATTTATATATGCAATCACACATTACTTATTCTCAACTCTTTATCTTTATTGTAGACGACTATGCTTAGATGTTAATATTCTTATATTTCTCAATGCATGTTGCAGCCATGGCAATGAGCTATGCTTAGTTTTGTTTCATTCAAGATTTGTGGCCATTTGATGCTATAATATTAGGAATATTTGAGGCATTTGTTAGCTTTACATCCAAAATATGTTTTGAAATATATAGGCGCTGGGTCACTTTGATTTGGTTCTGGTCATATTTTCCTATTATATAAGTATCTAGATTAAATCAATTTCAGGTTTTCTCATGGACCACACTTCTATGTAAATTGTGAATATGATTGCATTTCTTGTTGGATAGCTTGAGGTTTGAGCAATGAGCACGTGTCTTTCTTTATGATTTAGTACCTTCCACTCTGTGGCCTTGTAGCTTTCTAATATTTCTGATGCTCTTTGGTCTTGATATATCATGCAGGAAAACCTTCAATATTGGCTCACTGATGCAAAGGCCAGAGACCAGTTTGTGATTCGTGCTGGTTCAGATACTGAGGTTTTGTGGAACGATGCAAGGCATTTAAAGCCTGATCCTGTTTATAAGCGTACAGTGAGTGGACTTAATAATTCAACATCTTGTATTATTTGATATTTATTAGTGCCCTTTCATTATCAATCTCTTTCTCCCTTTACATGCTTGTGTATTGTTGCTGGCCTGGGTGTTCATATATTTTCTTAATTACAGTTTTGGACTGAGAGTTTTGTGCAATGGTCCCCTCTGGGCACATACTTGGCAACAGTTCACAGGCAGGGGGCAGCAGTCTGGGGAGGTGCTTTAACCTTCAATCGTCTCATGCGTTATGCTCATCCTCAGGTTTTCTTTGAGTTTCATTTTGTATTTTTATCTGGCTCTTTGACCTGGAATTTCTCTTCTTGTTATACTAAAGGTTATTCATATAAATATAAATTATAGGTAAAACTTATTGATTTTTCACCTGGTGAGAAGTATTTGGTAACTTATAGCAGCCATGAACCAAGCAATCCTCGAGATGCTAATGTGAGTGCTTTCTTACATGTTTATCGTTTTACTCTGAACTATTTTTAGATACTGTTCCTAACATCAACTTTCTTCTTGTAGAGGGTTGTGATAAATATATTTGATGTGAGGACTGGTAAATCGATGAGAGATTTTAAAGGAAGTGCTGATGATTTTGCTATTGGAGGTACTGGGGGTGTCACTGGGGTGTCCTGGCCTGTTTTCAGGTACAAATCTCTTTTTTCTTTAAATATTTTTATATCTAGCTTAAATCTAAGAATTTTAGCATCTGTCATGGGCCTAATGCAGTAGTCCATTCATGTTATTATCTTTGCAGATGGAGTGGTGGAAGAGATGATAAGTACTTTGCAAGGATGGGGAAAAATGTACTGTCTGTGTATGAGACTGAGAACTTTTTTCTGATTGACAAGAAGTCCTTGAAGGTTGAAAATATAATGGATTTCAGCTGGTCTCCAACTGATCCAATTATTTCCCTCTTTGTTCCTGAGATGGGGGGTGGTAACCAGCCTGCTAGGGTAGGGTCATGTTTTTCTTGCCTTCTATGGTCATGGATTGAAGTTTTGTTTTACTTGGGTATTTTAATTAATATATTTTTTATTGATTGTTTTAAATTTATGTTCTTTGATGTATTTGCAGGTAAGTTTGATTCAAATCCCCGGCAAAGAGGAACTCAGGCAAAAGAACCTTTTTAGTGTAAGTGATTGCAAAATGTACTGGCAAAGCCATGGAGAGTACCTTGCTGTCAAGGTTGATCGTTACACAAAAACCAAGAAAAGTACATACACTGGCTTTGAGCTTTTTCGTATAAAAGAACGAGACATACCTATTGAAGTGTTGGAGCTTGAGAATAAAAATGACAAGATCATTGCATTTGCCTGGGAACCAAAGGGCCATAGGTTTGTTGTGATTCATGGTGATAACCCAAAGCCTGATGTTAGCATCTACTCTATGCGTACTGCTCAGAACACTGGCCGGGTTTCAAAGCTCACTACTCTGAAAGGAAAGCAAGCAAATGCTCTGTTCTGGTCACCTGCAGGTCGCTTCATTGTACTAGCTGGGTTGAAAGGCTTCAACGGACAGTTGGAATTTTACAATGTTGATGAACTTGAAACCATGGCTACTGCTGAACATTTTATGGCCACCGACATTGAATGGGATCCTACCGGAAGGTATGTGGTATATCAGAATAAGTAATGATATAGCTAATAAAGGCAGAAGTTCATGGCTTTATCTTCTGTAAAATCAGTCTAAAATTGTGTTTGCCATAGTAATTAAGTGTTTTATTTTTGTTACTTCACTGAAAAAAATACTTTGTCTTGGTTTGTTAGTTATCACAAGTTTATATTGGGTCTCCTTTTTATATTGCAGGTATGTTGCGACTGCTGTGACTTCAGTTCATGAAATGGAAAATGGTTTCAATATATGGTCTTTCAATGGCAAGCATCTCTATAGGATACTGAAGGATCACTTCTTTCAGGTAATTACATTATCATGTGTGCTTGATACATTGTTGGCCATATATGTGTATTACAATGGTGCAAGGAGTGATTTGTTAGTGTACAGTGTTTGATGATGATAAGTTTAGATCCTGTTGTTTTGGTGGTGTAAATTTTTGTAGTAGCTGAATTTAAACGTCATTGAAATTGTTTGTAACGCCCTTATTGCCAATATGCATGTTATTTTGGTTCTGAAAGCTTTTTGAGTAATTCTTTGCTAGTTCTTTATGCTAATGTTAATCAATCTCACATTCTCCTATTCTTTTTTTTAATATATAGTTCTTATGGCGACCAAGGCCACCATCTTTCCTGAGTGCTGAGAAAGAGGAAGAGATTGCAAAGAACTTGAAGAAGTATAGTAAGAAATATGAGGCAGAAGATCAAGATGTTTCGCTGCTCCTGAGCGAGCAGGAGCGTGAGAAGCGTAGAATGTTGAAAGAAGATTGGGACAAATGGGTCAACGAATGGAAGCAGATGCACGAAGAAGAGAAGTTATATAGGCAAAAACTCAGGGATGGCGAGGCTAGCGACGAAGAAGAGGAATACGAGGCAAAGGACATTGAAGTGGAGGAAGTGATCGATGTATCACAAGAGGTCCTTCACTTCGAGTATGGTCAAGAGTGAAGTTTATTGCTGGACTGGAGTTCGTTAGATTGAAACATTCTATTCACTTGTTGAGGTGTAGTTGTAGAGCATACTTCGAGTTTATCGTTGTAAAACCCTTTTTTGTAGTTTTTTATTATTATTTCTTTTTGTGGAAGGAATTCTTTTTTCTTTTTTTTTCACCAAGACTTAACATGAAAGACAATTTTGCTGTCCCCGTTGGGCAAAAGTCTCTTCCTCCTATCACTTTCTGTCTTCGCACTAACAAAATGGATGAAGAAAAATCTCAAGTTATAAATTTTGTAAGGTGTAATCCAAAATAAATAAATTTTGTAAGGTAAGAAATAATCAAAGATTCTTACTATATTCCGTGCAGGCTTTTACATGAATGTTCTAATGTGATTCTGCGTATGTCACTTTGTGAGTTATTGTATGTTTGAATAGTTGTCTCTTATATTTTATTAATGACTATGAAAACTTCTACGAAGTATATAAAGGACACATTTCTGTTCTTAACAAGACGTTAGTCCTAAGTTTTTACCAAATGTGTGTTTTTGTATATTCGTTTTTACTCTATTTATATTTTTGTCTTTTTAAAACAAATATCATAATAAGTAAAAGTCATATAAATTATTTTCTATTAAAAAAATAAGAAACAATATTTTAAAAAAACATAAATTTATCTGAATTAAATTAAATAAATAAATATGAGTCAATATATTTATAGTAAAAATTCTAGGAAAAAAAATCAATACTAAAAAACATCTATAGGAACCAGAAAAACATGTAAAATAAAATCTCGACTAAACTTTGAATAAAGAGAAATGGATAATATATGAATATAATACCTTTGAATGATTTACTCTGAGTTGAAAAAAGAAATCTCCATCCATAAAATGTAAAATTAATTTTCAAAGGAGAAAAGAGAGTGTTAACAATAATATTTAATAAATAGAAATAATATGCCGTCTTATGGTTTTTTTACCGACTTTCCTATTTTAAATATTTTATGACCTTCAAAGAAAAATATGAGAATATTCTATTTATTTATTTAAGATAAAGAATTAACTTCCATCGAAAAAAATATACTTGCGAAAAATTGAAAGTTATATCAGCACGTAGCCAAGTAAAAGTAATAAGTCAAATTTCAAAAATTAAAATGAAATAATATTATAATTTCTTAAATGCGAATTTCATGAACGAATATTTAGGGGGCGTTTGGTTAGGGAGAAATTTTTATGAATCATAGGCAAATGTGATTAGTGGGGAAATAGGTGGAAAGTGAGTTTGGTAGGAAAATGTAAAAATAGTTGTTTGGTTGAAAAATATTTTACTGGAGAAATTAGATAACTTTTGTAAAGTCTACGTTTGACTGATGGTAAAATATAGATAGAGAAATTATTGCATAGTTACAAAAATAACCTTCTGAATAAAATTAGAGAGAGAGAGGAGGGAGACTGAGCTTTCACATCATGGCCAAGGGTAGCTGGTCTTTCACATCATTGCATCAGCTTTCACCAAAGTAGCTGGTCTTTTGTAAAGGATGCACAGTGACTAATTTGGGTAGGTTTTCAATAATACCACATCGCCAAGGGACATCCTTCGCCGGCTAAATGGAAGCTGATGCCTATGCTTTTGGGTTATGTAGGCAACTCATTTAGATGGGAAAGTGTGACAGAAACTCCAACCAAATATGGTGTATGTAGATGCCTTGCTTTCATTTGCCTATGTTTCTCGGCAGAATCCGTGAAACAAACACTCCCTTAAGGTTTTCTTTTCTTTATAATTTTTCATGAACAAAAACGAAAGGTAGCTGTGTGTGGTAATCATGCCATGTAGTTCGGAAATAGTTTTTAAGTTATCAGTGGTGATGAATAGCAATACTATTATAAAATATATTTTTATCTTATTAAATTATTTATTTTCTTAATTTCTTTTAATATTAAATACTTATATATAATTTTAAAAATATTTTTGTTTTATTTCCCACAAAACTCTAATTATATTAGGGAGAGTTTACTGCCCACCTCAGTATAAGGTTCAATGCTAAGTGCAGCTTGTGTTTTGAATACTACAGTTTACAAAATCTCACATATAATTTAGAGATGTAAATCGATCAGCCATCTTGACAGAAATCTACGATTCGATTTATATTAGGTCGTGACTTATTACATATAATCAAATAAAAAGATTCAAGTATTAAAAGAAATTTATTTAGAAAATAAGTCATATGCATTTTTTTACATGTCGAGCTTATATCATATTATTTATTTTAAATAAAATTAATAAATTATTATTTTAATAATTTTGAATAATAAAATAATATTATTTTAATTATTTTTTTATTATTGAATTTTTAATAGGTTTAAACAGACTAACTGGTCTAGGATAAGACTTTTATTTTTTAAATATAAGTCAGACAAGACTTATAATTTAGGCCTTACAAGGCTAATAGACCAGATCAGGTCTAAAGTATTTTACATAGATCTGACCTCTTAAAGACAAAGACTAGCCCAACTCAGCCTAATTACACCCCTACTTGTATAGGCCAACAAAATGCGGAGTAAAAGTTTCAATATAAGTGTCAGGCCTTGTCTGCCTGATAGTGATACCAGAGTCGAGTTGATCTCGGGCTAGCCAGATATTTACTTAGAGTCAAGTTGAGTATTTGGGTCTAAGATACTTGATTAAGGCGAAACATATCGATATAAGTTTTGACACTTGAAAAAGGAAATTGTTAGGTTATTCAAGTAGGTCGTCCCAATGAGATAAGCTAGATCATTTATATCAAGTAGATATAATATCATATTTCATTCCAAAATCTTAAAACATTAAATTTATGAATTCATCCACTTAGAATTTATTTAATCCGTTACCAACATCACACTTAACGTAGGTGGTGCAACGTGGGAACAGTGCATTTTTTATACGCAACTATTTGAAGCCAAAGAGAAAAATGGTGTTATTGAACCTGGATTCGGGTTTTAGTATATTAATCAAGGAATTTATTATTCTTAAATTACATAAAATAAAATTTATTTTTAACACACACAAATTTAAAATAAATTTTATTTTATTTTATTTTTTCTCTATCTCTAAGAGTGAATCTCACCTGCACAAATATATCTCCTGCCCATTAATCAATGCCTTGTACAATTTTATGAGCACTATTCTCCAAAGTGTGTCTCTATTCTCCTGTGGAGGGTAACATCTTCGTTGACTCCTGTATGCTTTTTCTTTTCTATTATTTACTGTTCTTCTCCCCTCCTTTTGCAGCTTACGCTTTTGATCCGTCGATGTTCCTATCCATTATTAGGGCACTAGCGAGCATGTTCTAAGGTGGCTTATGCACCGTAGACTCGGGCTATGTTGTATAGGAATTGAGTAAAATAAGTCCATATATTATGTACCCAAAAAAAAATAAAAAATTCATATTAAAGTCTTTTTTTTTTTTTTTTTTAATCTTCTCTCTATATACTTTTACAACATACACAGCAGTGTAAATAATATTTTAAAAAGTAACGATATTAAAATGAATATATTATATATTTTAAGCTTTAGTTTTATGTCATTATTACTTTTTTTTTTTTCTTACAGAGAAAAAAATAAATGAAGTGAAGTCAACTATATGATTGTTTAATTTTTGGTGTTGGGTCTAGACTCTAGTGCTGGTGTTAAGTAAACATTATCCTCACCTAGTCACCTGTAAATTAAATAAACAATTAGATAGATGTGTAGATTCAAACGTAGGCAAAGGGATAAGGGGTTGGCTTTGGAAAGGGACAGGTATGAGTATGAAGTATCCGTGAGAAGAAGACGGGTGATGTCAAGTTACAATTTTCACAATTCACGAGTAGTGAATTGTCAACTACAAGCGAGCTTTTCTATTTATCACCAGTGATCACTGTTGAGGGTGGTCCTTTAACCTCTCTGTATGCAAGCTCGTGGCGTTTCTTAGAGACTGTGGCTTCTTTACGTGACAAAGACACATCTATGTACGTACAAAGAGGATTTCGTGCATAATGATTCTGATGATACATATACTGTAATATGAACCATTTTGCTACATTACAAGAGTAGGTTGTGACTTTTGTGATAAGAATTTTTAAAGAAAGAACACAAGTGCATATTGTTGATTCCTCCTTTATTTTATGTTAAATTAAGATGTGTTTAAGCAAACTGGTTAACAATGTCTAGTTGCATGGCACAGGTTGAATATAGGTACAGATCCCATCAACCTGCTTCCCAATCCCAAGTTTCGTTTGGATATCCAAGATGAAAATAAATAATGCATAAGCTTAAAATATTATAAAGATAGAATAGTGTATAAAACTGCTGAACTAATACTATACAAGTTACATATGATGTATAAGGACAGCATGGTAGCTCAGTTGGAGTTGAGCTTCCAATGATTTGTTTGGGTCAGGAGTTTAAACCTGACGTGTCTTTGTTTTTGAAGGAGGATTAGTCTCATCCTTCCTCCGGTAGCGAAGCTAAATGCACCAGCTGTTTCAATGAGAGATAGCCTTCGGGCCGTACTCTGAGAACAAGTGATCGAAGGAGGTTGAATGGGGATACCTTCCAGGTTATACAAAAAAAAAGGGTGTTTGGTAGATGGTTTATTTTCAGATTTTTGGGAAAGTGGGAGTGATAGTTCAATTTATCCATGTTTGGTAGAAGATTTCTGAAAATTTATCGGGAATATGATTTTTTCAGAGTTTTGTTTTGTGTGTAAAATATAAATCAAAATACCACCTAGAGAGTGGTATTCTCACTTTCCCGAAAAAATAAAAAATTAGATACGAAAATCCTGACAAAAATCTTGATAATATTTTGCCTATCAAACAATTTTTTGGTAACATTATCGAAAAATTCACTTTTCTATCATATTCTAAAAAATTGTAATTCTCGGGTAAAAAATTTTTCTCCACTAACCACTTCACGAGAGACTTATTATGGCATCAATTTAGAGAAATAAATAACTATTGTCTTGCATCATGATTGTAGAGAAATGTGATTAATGTTTCTCATATTTATCTCCTACAGACATAAAAATATGTAGAGAAAAAAAAATATGAATTAATCCCATAAATATATATAAGAATAAAATTATATTTTATAACATGATAAACAATTATCACTATGTAAATTAGTTAGTTATATATATATACACACACTTTATAGGATGGATGATTAACAGGAAAAAAGGTTACAAGAGTTTCAACTTTGATGACTTGATTCAAATCTACTCATCATTACTGTCCAGGATATATTAAAAATG